ATAGTTAATACAACAGAAGTAAAATTAAATTCATTATTTCAACTTAGAAATTATTATAGAAGTAATGTTTCTCTATTACTATAAAAGTGAGTTAGCACTAGTAATTTTTTAAGCTCTGTTTGTAATTGATGATTATATAGTTATTTAAGATACATGAGTAATTTCAAGGCTGTGAGTTGCAATGAATTTTAGATGTTTTCTATTAGGGATGAGAAACTTAGGTGAATAATAAGGTAGTGAATTAGTATTAGTATAAAATAGCAGTTTCAAGTTGGCTTTCTTTGTTAATTCTTTTCATTATAATTTTAGTTTCCTCATCTGTGGAATAGAAACGATCATGGTCTCTGTATTTCATAGTACTGTAAGAGTTAAATAAGATAAGGCATGCTGCATTTTTAAAAGGATACCTGGCACACATATTTAGGATGCTTAATAAATATAACCTATTGTAACGATTATATTGGAGGAAGGTGATAGGAGGTTGGAAGTGACAAATGACTTGAAGCAGGTAGATAATTAAGAAATTTGAATGCGAAAACTTAACTATAAGACTTTAGATCACTGGCACAATTTTGACTTAGAGTTCTTTGATTAATCCCTCCATGCTTTAGTCCGCCCTTTAATTATGGTCTGCCAGTGACTTGATGTGGCAATTAAAGGACTTGTATTTTGAAAGTTTTCCAAAATCGACATTTCAAGTTAGTGTATTTCAAGTTAGTATATTAAAATTTTCAAGTTAGTATATTATGCAAAGATTTTCAAGTTAGTATATTAAAATTTAGGCTGCTTCTACATATTTGGTGGCTATCATTACTTAGTTAAGTTTTATCAAAATCTCTTAAGTGGCCTATTGATGAGTTTAATTGATGTTGTCTTTTGTATGATTTATTTATTGGTTCAATAAGTGTATTTTCAGGTTTTGTGTCAATTATATGGACATTGGGAATCATAATTTTAAGATGATTTCTGGACTCCTGAAACACCTGAGCTTTGCAGTATATTGAGAGCTCATGAGATAGCCATTTGAGAATTGTTATGATAAAATCTCCACTTGGAAAATATATCCAAGAGTTTCCAACGTGAGTTTGAAACAGTGTATTGCTAGTGATTAAGCCATAGGGCATTTCCCAGTGGTCTTATGCTTTTCAGTATTTTGGAACACTGGATTTTATTTTATTTTGTTGAAAGAGGTGGTAAGTGTAAAAAAATGGATCAAGAAAATAATGTGATCTTTTCTTGAAAAGATAAACATTTTGCCTTATGGCCTTCAAATATCATATTGGCATTTTTATAATACTTCATACCTTTCCAAATGTATTTGCTCACCTTATTCTGACAGGTGGGAGTTGGAAACCTGTTTTGCCTGATCAGTTTTTCTTTTGTAGGAGGTGAGTTTATGCAGTTGTATTGCTTTAGGAGTTTCTTCACATACAACTTACTTTGGTGGTGTCCTAGAAAGAACCTCTGGGCTTAAGAATAATTAAAAGAAAGACTCTAAATCATTTATTCCTGAAGGATATTTTTACTAGGTTCCCACTGTGTATTCTCTCATGGATGGAGGGATTGAACAGGAGAAGGGTAAGGAATAGAGGGACATTCAGTCATAACAACTGAATTTACTGACACTGCCAATTTCCAGCGAAATTTTTTAAGGTCCAAGTCTTGTTCATTCTCTCTATAAAAATACCACAATCCAGTGAAATGGTGCTAATGTGTAGTTAAAAAATAAATTCTGAATTTGACAGTAAATGTAGATAACTTAATATGAGATTTCAGAATAGTATGTTAGCAAGCAGCAAACTTACAAAGGACAACAATAACTGCTGAGATCGAGCCTCTTTTTGGTTCATCCTCTGAGATGCTCCCTTTCTCTTTTTTTGGTTTCCTTTAACATTCAGAAATATTTATATAATGTAATGTGTAGGAACTATATAAAGCTTCTAATTAAGGATATTGAGTGATCCGATTTGCATTTGAGAATGTCATAGTTTGGAGAAGAGTAAGACTTGGGACAAGGAGGCCAGTTAGGACTAATCTAGGTGACAGATGATGCTACTTTCCTATTAGGGTGCTTAGTGATGATGGCAAGAAGTAGTTTTAAGAGACTTAGAACACTCGAGAATATCTAGTTTTCTTTGCCTCTGTATTTCCCCCCCCGCCACTCCCCCCCTTTTTTTTGTTCTCCCTCATCTATCTCTATGTTCTTTGGTGTCTCTTGCTTCTGATTGTCAATATTTGACCTCTGTTTCCCCATTCCTTGCTCATATAATGTATTTTAACCCTGCTCATTGAAGAGAAAAGAAAAGAAAAAAAAAAAAAAAAAAAGAGAGAGAGAGAGCCAAACCATAAGAGACCCTTAAAAACTGAGAATAAACTGAGGATTGATGGGGGGGGGGGCCCGAGGGAGGGGAAGATGGGTGATTGGGCATTGAGGAGGGCACCTGTTGGGATGAGCACTGGGTGTTGTATGGAAACCAATTTGACAATAAATTTCATTAAAAAATTTTTTAAAAAGTGAACTTTATTGAAGATAAAATTTATGTGTAGTAAAAGACAGATAATTTAAGATAGAGTTCATTGACTTTTGAAATATATATACCTTTCTGTAACCACCATAGAGGGCATATGTAATCTTTCCTTTCTAAAAGGTTCCTTACTGCCTCTTATTTCCCACCCCTGGCCCAGGTAACCATTGATCTACTTTTTTTCACTTTACATTATATTTGTCTTTGCTGGAGTTTCATATGAATGGTATCATATGTATGTACTCTTTGGTGTGTGATGTCTTTCTTTTGGTATATTTCTGAAATTCATCCCTGTTTTTGTGAGTACTATTAGACCATTCTTTTTTTATTGGCAAATAATAATTCATTTTATGGGTATACCACAGTTTATTTGTTTACCTGTTAATTTGTCCATTGATTTTTCAAGTGTCTTTCCTACTGAAAAACTCTCTCTGTGTCTTTCTAGCTGAAACATAGTATTAAAGCTTTTTTAGGAGGGAGCATTAAAATGCTTTCTTAAGTTACTGCTATTTATTTTAATGTTTTATTTTTGAGAGAGAGATTGAGAGAGAGAGAGAGAGTGCAAGCGGGGTAGGGGCAGAGAGAGAAGGAGACACAGAATCTGAAGCAGGCTCCAGGCTCCAAGCTGTCAGCAGAGAGCCCAATGCAGGGCTCAAGTTCAGGAACTGTGAAATTGTGACCTAAGCAGAAGTCGGGCACTTAGCCGACTGAGCCACCCAAGTGCCCCTAATTACTGTTACTTATTAAATAGTTTTATATTCCTACTTCTGAGTTTGTTTTTTTTTTTTAATTTTTTTTTTCAACGTTTATTTATTTTTGGGACAGAGACAGAGCATGAACGGGGGAGGGGCAGAGAGAGAGAGGGAGACACAGAATCAGAAACAGGCTCCAGGCTCTGAGCCATCAGCCATCAGCCCAGAGCCTGACGCGGGGCTCGAACTCCCGGACCGCGAGATCGTGACCTGGTTGAAGTCGGACGCTTAACTGATTGCGCCACCCAGGCGCCCCATACTTCTGAGTTTTAAAAGTGGCCAAATCAGTCAGAAGGAGAACAAACACTTTTATAACGAATTACCTTGAATTAGTAACCCTTGACATGCTAAATATATACCTATTTCTCTTTTATATTTTTGTATTTAGCTATTACAGGAGTTTGGGGGCAAAGAGGTCTCTATGGTACAGGCTATCATCTTAAGTGCATTTGTGTGCTTTTTTATCTGTTATTTTCTACAAAGAGTGGCAATTAAAGATATCTAGCAAGTAAATGTCCAATAGGGATAAAGTAGCTTTGAAGCCAGGGTTTAAGGTGCCTTTTATCTTTTAAAATCTTTTCTTCTGTGTGTAATTTCCATTAGTAGTTACTAAATGGTTAGTTTGCACAATTACAACAGAGCCAACAAGCAGTGTTCAGGGAAAAAAAAACCCTAAAGTTTATGGTCTTGGGTTGTGATTCAAGAATTACAACCGTAACTAACTTAATAACAAGCAAATTGAATGAGGACTTATCTCCCAATGTTATTTTGACATTATGTAATAACCTTTCTGTAATAGCACCTTTTATTTTAAACAGTTCCTTAGAGGCACTGTTGATATGATAGGGCAATATATACAGATGTCAGTTTTATGGCTCCAGAGATCTACTATGCATTTGGTAAACATATTTCAGTTACATTTTGGCAGTAAAGAGAGCAGGAAGATAATGCTTCCATTAAAGTGATCAACTATGCATGTAGAAATTGGGTAGGAAGATGTGTGAAAAGGTTTTCAGATGAAATGCATTTTCATATATAAATCGCCTCTGCTGCATATATAACTGTCTCATAATGCTTTAGGGTAATTCAGCAAATACAGCACTGGAAATGGTGTTTGTACATACTGATCTTAAAGAAGGAAGTGTATAAATTGCTTTATGATAAGTCCTGCTGCTGCTTAGCTGTTATATTGCATTAACCCACTCTTTTATCTCAGACTTTTTTCTTTTCTTAAACAGCTGATTAAAACTAATTAACTTACTATTTCAGCACTGTTTTATTTTCCATTCTTAAAATAGTTATTACAAGTAAAAGCAGAAGTTCATTTGTGTTTTTCTGCTACGTGAAACAATGTGTCTTCATCCTCAGAGCATTAGTATTTCAAAAGTAATGTTGAGTAAAAGTTTACTATCTGAGAAGCTTAATTATTTTTCAGATACTTATGGTATGATCATACCTGAGTACATATTAAATTTTGTATCATAGCGAACTGTTTTAAATCACACATTATTCTGTAATAAATACTTACATTTTTAGAAACTTCACATGGGAATTTTAAAAAAAGCAAAAATATTCTCTTCTTGATGCATTATTTCTCTCGGTTAACATACTTCTGAGTGCTTTTATATCTCAGTAATAGGTGGGTTTTGTTTTTTCCTGTGCCTGTCAGTTCTATTACCTTCTTTTCATTTTGCTCTTCTGACTTTTCATCTGCATTCCACAGATTTCCTCCTCTGATGCTCCTCTTCAGCCTTTGGTGTCCTCTCCTTCTCTACAATCTGCTGTTGAGAAAAACAAATTGGAGGTATGGTAGTGTTCTAGCCAGCTGCATTATGTAGTGTTCAGTGGTAAATAAGCTTTCTTTTGCTGTGTGTCATAATTTGGGAGTGGTGTAATAGTTGTTTATATTTTGAGTGGTCTCCAGTATTAAATATATTAAATATAACAATTTCTAGAATATTTTCCTATGTCACCAGTAGGATTAAAGAAGTTTGATCTGTTTCATTTCAAAATGACAGATTTATTGGTACTATAGATATAGCTCAACATTTAAGAAGCAATTTTTTTGTTGTTGTTTGCATTACTACTTTATACTTCTAGGATTTTTTTTATAGTTGCTGTTGAATTCTTTGATCTATTAAAAAAGTCTTTCATTGAAAATGTTTTCTTTAGAAGATTCTATTGTTTTAAGCGTTTGAAGAAAGTGTCAAGTTTCTTTTTTTAAGCAATAGTAGCCATCATTCAGATACAGTAATGTAGATAATATAGAGTTATGACTATGGAATCATCAGTGATAATCGTTAGAATATGTTTGTGGTAGGCGTGGTTAGAGTGAATGGTAATGATTCCTAATGAGGAAAGCATAACTTTACAGAAGTTTCTTATGCAGTATCATTTTTGTGCTGTGATTGACATTCACTCACTATGCTCTTTAATACAGGAGGCATACTTTTGAAATATCTTTAATTCTTAATAAACATTAGCTATAAGGATTAGGATGCATTCTAAGTAGAGAAAGCATCTTGTGAAAAAAACCCTGTGGGCAGAGTGGGTTGTTTAGAGATTTGTAAGTAGATGGCATAGCTAGAACATGCATAGGATAGGGAGAGAAGTGAGAGAGCAGCTCACTTCTGAGCCTTCTGAATGATTTTGGTCTTCACTCTGAAGGCCCTGATAGTACAATGATGAACTTTAAGGGTGGAAAAGGTAACAGGATCTGATTTTCTTGTCTTCACATTGTTCCTCATATCTGTGGAGAATAAATTATGTGTTGATGGGTGTGGAAAAAGCTTGAGAACTTGCTTTAATCCATGAATAAAATGATGGGAGCATGTGCTAAAATGGAGGGAAAGAGAATAAAAAGGCGAGTGTAGTTTTAAGAGATTTTGAGAAGATGGAATCCATGGGATTTAGTAATGAATAGATTGTGACGGTACTTTGGGAAGCCTTGATGGCTTCCAGTTTCTGGCTTGAGTATCTCAGTACATGATGGTTCTATCCGGGGAGAAAGGGATACAAGCTGAGGGTGAGGAACAGGTTTGTGGAGAACAGAGGCAAGGGGATGAATTAGAAGTTGGATATGACTGTGGGACATCCAGGTATCTAGTAGGTAGTTGAATATATAGGTCTATAGCCCAGAGGAAAGATCTAGGCTGGGGGAAGTGGGAATAGATAGAGAGGGATTGAGAGGATGATTAAGATTATAAAGCAGCCCAGGGAGAGTGTGTTGAGTGATAAGAGGAAAGTTCTGAGAATAGAAAGCTGGGTACACTTGAACTTAAGAGTTAGCAAAGGGAATTCACAAGGAGTCTGTAGGGGACAGTTTTAGAGCATGAAGTACATGGTTGGAGTGTTGTAGGTACTTACTAGGTCAGCACACAGACCCAGGAAAGAAGCACTCTAGGAGTATGGATGTTACCATGAGAAAGTGGAAGAATGTCAGAGGCAAATTTTGCCTTTTCAAAATTTGCTCTGAAACTATGCTTTCATGTAAGAAAAAGAGTGGAAATCCTGAATATACCTTTGTACTGTGGTTCCTACCTGCAAGTCTTAGAAAGCAGTGGACATTGGTGTTTCAAGATGGTGGCATAGGAAGACCTGGAACTCCCCTTTTCCCACGGCACAACAAATCTACAACTACACATAGAACAATTTTCTCCAAAAAAGACACTAAAACTAGCTGAACACCTCCTTCACAACAAAGGACAAAAAGGCCGCATTGAGATAGGTAGGTGAGGCAGAGACATGGAGCCACCCCTGGTGCTGTGATCCACAGGTGAAAGGGATCTCACAAATATGAAGAACATCCCTGAGGAGTGAGGAGTGAGTCCTATATCAGACACCCCAACCCTTAGGACCTGCACTGGGGAGATGAGTCCGCAAAACATCTGGCTTTGGAAACCAACAGGTCTTATGTCCAGGATACCCAGAAAACTGTAGGAAAGTATGACTCTACTCTTAAAGGGCATATGAACAGTGACTCACTTGTCCTAGAACCCAGTGCAAAAGGAGCAAGTTGAAAAAGAAGCTCCTAGACCATATGTGAAAGAGATTTATTGCCTAATTTTAAAGTGTCTGTTAGAAGGACAGGGGTCAGTTGGATCTCTCTTTGAAGACAGGTACTAGGCAGAACCATTTTTGTACTACCTCTACCTTGCCAGTGCTGCTCGCCCTGCTCTTCTACACCCCCACAGTCCCACCCTACCAAATTGGATGGGTTGGCTCTTCCTGGGCTGGTGCTGTCCTGTGACCCTGCTAAAGCCAAGAAACACATGCATTTCACACAGGGGTCATCCCTTGAATGCCTGGCTCTGGTGGCCAGTGGGCCTTGCAATTTTGATCCTTATGGAACTGAAACAAATTGGAGGCACAATTTGTGGCAGGCTATCCCCCGCCCACTCCCCTACCCCCCCATACATAGGGCACTACACAAACAGCTGACTGAAACATGCTCTCGGTCTTCCTATGACCACTCCTTCAATACTAGGAGAGGTCACTATTTTTCCTAATAGAAACAAACAGAGAATTAGGCAAATGAGGAAATGGGAATATGCTCCAAAAAAAGAATATGGTAACATTTTAGGGGGAAAAAAATCTTAATGGCGATAAATAATTTACCTGATAAAGAATTCAAAGTAATAGTCATAAAGATGTTCATTGATATTGGGAGAATAATGGATGAAGGCAGAGAATTTCAACAAAGAGATAGAAAATATTAGAAAATACCAAATGGAAGTCACAGAGCTGAGCCAAGGAATTAAGATGACAGAATAGTAGGGGGACCCAGTGCTTGCTTTGTCCCTCGAACGCTAGATAAATATCAAATCAATCTGAACACCCGGGAAACTGATCTGAGGAATCACAAAACAAACTGCACAACTAGAGGGAGAGAAGAGTTCATATCATGGAAGGTAGTAGGTGTAGAGACTTGATGTGGTGGAGAAAAGAATTGCCAGTACTGTGGAGGTGAGGGAGCCCTGATCGGGGAAAAAGGGGAGAGAGAGCAAGAGTGCAAGCAGGGTTCAGGGCATTGCATAAGAAAAACACTTCCCCGAAACTATTGACAGGGAAAATGAGAAGGGCTGATTACTGCAAGTTTTTACAAGCAGCAGAGCTCAAACTCTGAAGTTTTAGAAATCTGGGCCATCACTGGGGTGGAGCCTGACAGGTGTACAGGGGCTCCTGTGTAGAAGGAGGGCAGAAGCCCAAGAGCAGGCAGTGTGGTCTGAGGATCCCCTGGGTCGCTCTGGGAGAGGATAGTTCCCCTCCTTGGAGTGCACTTGGGAAAGGTGGCACTGCCTGTCAGGGGACAAAATAGCCGGTGGGTGCCATTGATCTGCTCCATTTATTAGCATAGAACAGAGGCACCTGCTGAGGGCAGCTAACCTGGATGCTGACTTTTTCTGTGCTATACAATGAATTCCAAGCCCCTGCACGTTGTTGGGACTGCCCTTTTGGGACAAACTGGCACCAGCCACAGGGTGATAAGACCCTCCCCCAGATGATGCATGGGTCTGTGCCATCCCAGGTTACTAAAATCTGGAGTTTTGAAACTCAGCTCATGTACCAGAGATAAAACACAGGAGCACTGCACCACTGGGTGGGCAGATGGCTAGAGTGAAAGCAGGAATCTGAGGGATGCCTGGGACACACAAGGGGAGATTGTTCACTCATCTGTGAAGGCTTCCTAAACAGCAGCGGGCATAAACTTCCCTCTCTGGGGACAAGAGAGTTGGCTGACACCATTTTTACCCCTGCCCATGAGCACAGATGGATTTCAGTGAGCAGGACAGCGCCCATAGTGGAGGCTTGAGCCGCTTACACCAAACCTTGTCCCCTGAGCTGTGTAGGTGCTTTCTTAACCTGGGCAAGTATGCCTGAGACTCAGAGCAGCAGGCCTCTCCCCCAGAAGACTAGCATAACTGCCTTCCTCTGCCCCCACACTGCACACACCCAGTCTACTGACCATGGAGTGCTGCAAAGCTTTAGCTCTAGGCAAAATAGAACCTAGCCTCTTTTAACAAGCAGACCAAAACACACCTACTTAAAAATCACCACACACACAGTGGACAAGGTCCAAACACTCCCCATTGTAAGCAAGGAGAAACTCTGCAGAGGACTGACCCGAAGGAAAGAATAGCCAAAACACAATAGCACGGTGTACACAGCATACACCAGAACAACTTCCTGAAGCACCAGGCCCTGGACAGTATATGACCTCTTCTTAACATAGCCATTACTCTCAGGAACAGGAAGCATAACAGGCTTTCCTAAAACACAGAAGACAGAGACCTGGACAAAATGTCATGATGGAGGAATTCATTCCCAAAGAAAGAACAAGAAGAACAAGATCATGGCCAGGGATCTAATCAAAATAGATATAAGTAATATGCCTAAACTAGAATTTAAAACAACAATCATAAGGATAGTAGCTGGGCCAGAGGAAAGCATAAAAGACAGAGATAAAAGACTTATAAACTAGTCTGGCCGAAATAAAAAAAAAAAATGCTATAGCCAAGAAACAGAGGAATCAAAGAGTTATATAGAAGATAAAAATATGGAAAATAAATGAAGATGAAAAGAAAGAAGGAAAAATACTGGATAACATTCATATCATAGGAGTCCCAGAAGAAGAAGAGAGGGGAAAAAAGAGAAAGTGTATTTGAGGAAATTATAGCTGAAAATTTCCCTAATCTGGGGAAGGAAACAGACTTCCAAATCCAGGAGGCACAGACAACTCCCATAAAAATCAATAAAAGGAGACTAATACCAAGAAATATCGTAGTAAAATTTACAAAATACAGA